TAGAAGAGTCTGTTCTATATTGTCTTCAATAATTTATATGCTTTCATGTCTTAAATTTAAGTTTTTTATCCATCTTGAATTAATTTTCATATAGATGTTAAGAGAGGGGTTCGCTTTTGTTCTTCTGCATGTGGCCATCCAATTTTCCCAGATTCATTTCCAGAATCATTTATTAAATAGGTCCTCTTTTTCCCAGTATATACTGTTGTCTGCCTTGTCGAAGATCAGTTGGGCCTATGTAGACAGTTTTATATTGGGTTCTTTGTTCTAATCCGGGGGTCTATCTCCATTTTTGTATTAGTACATGCTGTTTTGTTTACTATAGTCTTGTAGCATAGTTTGAAGTCTGGTAATGTGATGCCTCCAGATTTGTTCTTTTTGTTTAAGATTGCTTTGGCTATTTGGGCTCTTTTTTGATCCTGAATGAAGTGTAGAATTAGTTTTTCTAGATCTATGAAATATGACGATGGTATTTTGGTGGGGATTGTATCGAATCTGTGAATCGCTTTGGGCAGTATGGATATTTTAACAAGGTTGATTCTACCGATCCATAAGCATGAGATATTTTTGCATTTGTTTGGGCAATCTGTAATTTCTATCAGAGTTTCATAGTTCCCCTTATAGAGATCTTTAACCTCTTTAACCTCTTTAACCTCTTTAAAGGTTAAAGATCTCTATAATATTTAACCATGTATATTTTATTTTATGTTTTTGTAGCTTTTGTAAATGGTGTTGTGTCTTTGATTTGACTCTCAGCTTGACTGTTATTGGCATGTAGAAATGCTACTGATATGAGTCCATTGATTTTGTAACCTGAGACTTTACTGAATTTATTTACCAATTCCAGAAGTCTCTTGGTGGAGTCTTAGGATTGTCTAGATACAAAGATCATATCATCAGTTTGACCTGCATCTTAATAGGTATCATAAATAGTACAATAGATTTTCTTATGTGTTTTCTACATCTGCAACAGGAATCAGATTTGGTACATACAAAGAATTGGTATGTAAGAAGGTTTAGTTCGTAGTACTTGTTAATGGTTCCTTTGTTACAGGAGCAGTTGTTAGTGTCATCTGCAGTGACTTGGCATTTAAACAGGATGTGCTCTAAAGAACATTATAGGTGTGTCACAGATGATTCAATTACTAAATATCAGTGAAAAGGTTGGTATTTTTTAGAGATCAAAAATTGAATCATGACACCTTTACAAAAGCTTAATTTCATCTGATACTTGTAAAATGTATTACATCTTGGCAACAGAAGTTTTCTATCCACAACATGCAAACATTTTACTATATCTATTTAAATGAGAGAGTCAGAGTCTTCCTGTGGATTGAATGGCATCAGGTTCTCTGCCATCCCAACCCAGATTGTGCTTTGAAATCTTTTTAGGCAAAAATGTTTATACACTTGGGTATGTACTATTGGCTTACTGCTTAAAATATGCTGTTTGACTTTAGGCTAATGTCTAGATGTTGTGACTTGGGACATAGCTAAAAGGCATTATGCTATCCTAAATTCTTTCATAATCGAGCTACGAAGTCTTGCTGCAGGTAGTTTCATCCTAAATTTGTGAAAAACATGAGTTAGGGTAGAATATATTTTTGAATAGCTAAAGCAGTTCTTTGTTGTAATCCCGATGCTCTAAAAACAAAACCGCTTCTTTCCTTTTATAATAACGCTGTCTAGTCATTGTAGAAAGTTCAAACATTAAAAAAAGGTATAAAGAAGAAAGCAAACTTTCTGTCAGATGCCACTTTCTACTGTCCTGTGAAAACTCTCCTCAGCATTTTGTAGAATATCTCCCTAGACTTAATTCTATGTGACTAATATCTACATAGCCGAAACACAGTGATATGGTTTCATTTTGCTTTTAACACTCAAAATGTGTTATGGATGATTTTCCATATCAAAGAAAAATAAAGATATAATTTAATTAACCAGGTTTATATCTTGTTATAGGCATTTAGGTGTTTTCTATTTCTAAAAAAATTGTACAAAAACTTGTTATACATATTTCTAAAAAGAGAATTGGCTACTCAGGGGTGTGCACATTAGTCATTCTGGTGTGTAGAGCCACGCTGCCCAGAAAATTTCCTGTTCTTTCCCTCAGTCAGCACTCCGTGATACCCATCTCCTTCATCTTTGGCAGTCTGATAAGTCACTGATCTTATATTTATTTTTAATTTTTCATTATTTTATTATATTCATGGCTTTAAATACTAATACCATATGTAATCTGACATCTCCAAGTTTTATGTCCTATAATCCAGGCTTGAAATACTTACTAGACGTTTTTTAACAGTCATTTGAACTTGTCCAGAATTGAACTCCTTATCTTTTTCCCAGACCTGTTTCTTTCCACTCTTTGATCTATCACAAATCCTGGAGTCCTGCATGCCTCTTCTTTTCTGTGTCTCATGTTTTACATCTAAGTCCCTTTGCAAAACCTGTTGACTTTCATAAGCTATGCAGACTCCTGCTTCTCTTCACGTCTGTGGCTCCCACCCTTGTGGCACTACAGAGGGTAAGCCTCAGTTAGCTGTTGCTGGGTTTATTGCTCTTGCTTCTCTGCTTTGTGTTTTCCCTACATCTTGTTATCCACACAGCTGAAACGGCATCCTGTTAAGGTGAATGTTAGGTGAATCATGCCACTCATCTCTTCAAAACCCTTTAGAGAATTTACATCTTTTTCTGAGTAGAGAACAGAATGCCTGCCATGGTCACCCAAGCTCTACATGATTTACCTTTCCTCTCTTCGTTCTCCCATTTTTCTGACCTCTTTTACCTACTTCTTTGCCTCTTTCGTGTGGCTCCAGGCGTGCTGGTCTCCCTGGTGTTTCCTTCCTTAGGTCACCCACTCTTGCCCTTGCTCCCTCATGTCCATCAGGTCTTATTTCAGTGTCACCCTTCAGCTAGAATTTCCTTGACCACCGATTTAAAATTGCTACCTCATTCTCTGAAACATTTCCTATCCTCTTTCATGCTTTATCATTCTCCATAATATTTATCCCTTTCTACTATAGTGCATATTTTATTATTTGTTGTCCTCTCGCTGTTAATATAAAAGTTTCATGATAGCTGGGACTTTGTCCTTTTTGTTCATTGTTATGTCCCCAGAATCTGAGTAGGACTTGTACATGGATGAAGTACATAGCCTAGATCTGGCACAAAATAAAATAATGAATAAAATTTTAGGAGTGCTCTTAGGAAAGCAGATCTTTGCCCATATTCTTGTGGAATTTTTATCTTTTCTTTTTAATGTGCCATAACCTCTTATGATAGCAATATTAAACTTTGGTTTTATGTTACAAATATTTTCTTTGTTATGGAGATTTTTGCTTTATAGTTTTTAATTTATTTGTTTCTGTCACCTAAAACATTTGGTTTTCTGCCCTTGCTTAGAAAGCCTTTTCCAACTAAAAGGTTATAATAAAATTTGTTTATATTTTCTTCTAGTACATTTAGCGTTTTATTCTTAATTTTGAAAAAATACCTGAATTGGTGTGGAATTTATCTTATTGTAAGAGGTTAGCGATAGATCCAATTTTATTTTTTTACAGTTACCTCAAAGCCATTTACTAAATATTCTACTCTTCTGTCACCAATTCGAAAGGCCATATTTCCCCTGTATTATGTACTTAATGTTCATATATTTTGCATAATGAAAGAAACTTGTTCTTTTTCCTTTTTGTTTTTCTGTGTGTTTCTATACGGTCTTTTTAAATTTGGGGGTTGAATAGCAGATTTGAATATTTATAATTTATGTTGACTCTTACATATCTGTTCCTTCAATCCTTTCTCTGTAATTTTCACAACTGAAAACAAGTGTGGTAATCTCTTGCTCATTTACGTTATGTATAAGTAATGCTTATATTTTGAATATTATGTCTATTAATCTAAGAAAATGTGTTAATCAGTATGCTATGAATAAAGTAAATTTCCCTTAAATTATTCCCTTTATATTATATCACAGATATCATAAAACCCATGTGTTATATGATTTGTTTCATGGTATAAAGAGAGCATCGTTCAGTCTGTGATATTTTTTATGAGCTTTTTTATCTTGCCATTCAGGGAATAACAACATTTTATTTACTAATTTGTGCCAAATGGGTTTATGCTGATGCATAATGGTAACAGGTGGAGTGAACAAGCTGTTACTGCTCTAATTGTATTATATTTTATTGTTTTGGGTTTTGAATTTTAGATTGAACTGGTGACTTTTTGTCACTTCTTGTTTATCAGTTTATTTTTGTTTGTCATGCACTGTGGTCCTTAATAATGTTTACTGCAGGTGTGCTTGCTGCACACCTTCTTTGACAAGTTACTGAAACTTTTTGAGCCTTCATTTTCTCATTTGTAACCTGGGTGCAGCAATAGTGTTTTATTCATCAAGTTATTATGGGAATTAAGTGAAAAAAATCACGTAAGATGTTTAACATAGTATTTGCCACAAATGAAATACTTACTGACTGGTACTCAGAGTTAATTATAATGTGATAAATGGCTATCATGGAATTTAAGGGAAAAGCAGTGCCTGGGACTAAAAATTATTTGAAGTTACTCAGTGAAGTTGAAGAAGGGAGAAAAAAAATTCCTTTTAAACATTTCCCTTTGTCTATGTGGCAAATGTTGTACCAGCATCAAGCCTGGTCACTCAGAGAAGAGGTTTAGACTTTAGAGAAATTACACGCCAATTCACTTTGCAAAGTAGGTCCTGAGAAATCTCAGTGAGTGTGTTCAGATGAGCAGTTTGAAATAATGGTAACAATTTTCTTACTGCTTATCAAATTATTAGTGCACAAGCTTGAAAACACAGTTGTTTTTCTCTTGTGAACGCCACATGTTTGTGTTTGTAATTTTATGGTAGAACAGTGTCACAAGAAGAAACTAGCTATCATCCTTCCTCTCCCCTTTCACATCATGAATCCCAACTAAATATTGTAATGACCCACTGATTGTAGATTCTCTTGACTCACAGTGTCTTCCCTCTGCAGACCCACTCTGAGGAGAGACCATTCCAGTGTGAGGAGTGCAAAGCTTTGTTCCGGACCCCCTTCTCTCTGCAGAGACACCTGCTAATCCATAACAGTAAGTCCCAATTCAGGCAGTTGAGAAGGAAAGGAATTATCTTCTGCTTGGGAATGTAGGCATCCCTGAGGTGTACCTATAAGCAGTCATGTAATCTGCTTTTAATCACTAAAAAGGAATGAATATCTGCCTTTCTCCTTTTCTTCCTTTATCTTTGCTTTATTTTCCCCCAGCAAACTTCATTATTTTATGAGACATTTTATATTATTTCTTCCCATTATTTAAAGTTTGTATGTAACATAATTTCTATTATCAGTAAGATATCTTTGAATTTTGTTTTGAAACACATTTTTGTATCTTTTGAATGATTCAAAAAAAGATGTCCGATTCTTTAAAACATGCAGATATCTGGAATGATTTTATTAGCTCACAAACACTAAAAGTTGGAAGGGATCAGAGGACGCACCTAATTTAAGACCGTAATTTGAGGAGAATTGGAACTTGAGACTCAGAAGCCCTGCATCAGACTCAGGGTCTCACAGTATTGGGGAGCCAGCCGTGTCCAGGTCCCTGAGAGTCAGGTGCTTTTCCTCCTTACTGTTCTGTCCCTGATTTCTGACCTCCTTTGGCAGGGGCATTTTTTTTCTTTTAGATTAAATTCTATACAAACATACCAAGAAAGTCTGACTGTTACACTAAGAACTCTTTTTAGAACATGATAGACTGTATCCCTGAAGGATATCACTTCAGTAAGAAGAATGTATGGTTGCTAAGCTGAGTTTTAAAGTAGATTTTCTATTCAGATATTGAACCAGAGACTTTAATATACTTTGTTTCTAAAATTAACAACAAAAATACATATACCACGGATAATATTTATATTATTTACTTTTAATTCAAGTTGCTTAATCAGTAGAAAACCCTCTATAGAAACGAAACTCTTCCTGCTGCTTAAATTTTTAATTTCTGAGGAAAGCAAAATAAATAAATAAATAAACAACTTCAACAATTGATTGGACAGAGCAGTATCCTGGAAGAATCTTTCCTTTCTTTTTCCCTTACTGTTTTATTTATCTTCATTCGGCTTTCAGCACTGAGAAGTTTTCTTCTTTCCTTAAATATCATAACTATGTGTTTAAGAAATAGAGTTTGCTGTGGAATAGTGGGAATTTTCCATCTTATTTCACTACCCTTTTGAGTAAGAAAAGTATCTGTGATGGGGTAAATTTTAAAATGGGGATTTGGGTATGTGACCCTCATCCAAGCTATTAATATTTATCATGGCTAAATTTGGCCCAATGCTCAGAATTTTTCTTCAGAAAGATTTAAATTTTACTTCTAATAATAGCAGGGAATTTGTAACAGAAGGAATCTTAATACTTTAGCTTATTGGTTCTCATGATCTTGAGAACTAGGATTGAAGGGACGGAGTATAGACTGCAGTGCATTGTGTGCTTAATACGGAAATGATGAGCATGTTAATCACAGGCTTAGGAAGCTGCGTCATGACATTTAGCCAGGAACATCAACTTTGAAAGCTGAGTGAGTAAACGAGTTATTTAAGGTGAAGTTAGACATTTGTCAGTAAAAAAGATGGGAAAGCCAGAAATGGTTAAAATAGAGAAGGTGATACACTAGGTCTTGCCTGACATAATTTGAAAATGAAAACCCATTTAACTCCAAAATATAAAAGCTGTTATTAGAAACTTACACCAGCACTTTGGCTCAAAATTTAAAGAATTACTTGTCATAATTATTTTGGAAATTGCTGTTTCCTAATATACTGAGAATAGAGGGCAGATTGCTAGCTACCTTTTGTGTATTAAGACAGGAAAAAAAAATTGATAAATTTAAGACAAAGAAAACTGATAAAATCAGGTAAAATCTCTTGTTAGAAATTAATACTTCTGATAAATTTGGACAAAAAAATCTGCAATTAAAATATTACAGAAAAACAGCTCATCTATTCTTGGTATGCCTTGATGAGGCTTTCACAAAGGGACTAACATTTTGATTTACTTGATAATTTGTGGAGAATGCTTGGATAGGAGCAATCTTGGAATTTTTTTTTAAGAAAATCTCTTTCAATTCCTAAGTAAATTTGATGTTAACATTAACACTTATAATCACATGTCAGTTGGCATTTCCTTATACTCTCACTGATTGTATGTTTTATATGAAAAAATGTGTCAATAAATCTAAATAATATATAAAGAAACAGTAGGTTACAAGGATAGTACCTGCAACAAAATATGCAAAGTCCAACAAATAAATAATTCTTTCAGAATACGTGTAGTTTATGCATGGTTTGGATATGAGCTTGCTTTAAACATCAAATATCCACAGGACTCTAAGAAACCTTAAATTAGAGAGCTATAATTCTTTTGAAAAGACATAAGGAAGGTAATTTTTCTTCTCCTTTTTCCTTTCTTCCTTTTTGCTCCTCCTTTCCTTGTTCCTCCCTTTCTTCCATTTGGTATAAAAAAATAATAATATCTTCACATTTCTAAATTTAATGCTAGTTATAATGGAAGGAAGTTAGAAGAAGTTGGCTGAAATTGAGGTAATCTCTTATTTAGATATAGAAATGGAGTTAATTCTATATTTTGCCTCATAACCAATGTAATATGGGAATCTATGCTAATATAATTATTTTTAAAAAGGGAAAATATATTCAAATACTAGTCTGTCTTATATAATCATGTGCTTCGTATATTTTATGCCATCCTGTTATAAAACACTGTCTTCTAATTGTGCACTTGCATTGCTACAATTGTATTTAAAATGGACTGCTGAAAATTACGCCTAGGTAGTAAAGAAAGCTACAAAGATAGTATGATACGACAGTTCAAAAGTACTATAAGCTCCCTAAACCTAGTTTCTGGAGTAGCTTTTTCCCTAGGCTAGGCTAGATAATGAAAAGAAGGTGAAAACTCTCTGGTACCCAAGGGCTCCAGGGTAGAAAACAGTAACTGCCAGTCTTCATCCCCTGTCTAACACTTCAACTGCCTCTCTGGGAGGTGGCCTTCCCCAGCGTCTCTGAGAGCCTGGAAAGCTGCTTCCCCAGCAGCCCAAGGAGTCAGGGAGCTTCCACTCTGGTTCTGGTGACAGTGCTGCAGAAGGAGGGGCCTTGTAGCCCTCTCCTTCTCTGGGAATGAGAGGGTCTGGCTCTGCGGCGTGTCTGTCCGCCCTCAGAGGCTTCGCTCCCCAGCTCTGCACCTGCAACCCTGTTCTGCCTGTGCTGACCCTGTTCGCTAGAGGAAATAGGGGCAGTGGTAGGGTTTGAGGGGAGCATGGGAAAGGATACAAAGGCAGTTTACTTTGCTTGATAGAGGCCTTGTGTCATTGCAGGAGGCTACTCACTGCAGATTGTAGTCTCTGCCCTAGAAATACATACTTTAAAATATATGTTCATGGCATTTTTAGAAAATTAGCTAATTTAATCCCTGGATTTTCCAGTTTAAAGACACTGAAAATGTGAGATTGAAGGACTGTCCCCTGGTCATACAGCACATTGGCAGATATGAAACTGGAATTTGTTATAAAAATTGTGGTAAATTCTTAGAGATAATAAAGCTGACTTTGTAGAGAAAACAATACCAAGTCTGGTATATGTAAGGGATTATTAATAAGACCATGTTACTGTGTCTTATGTTTCTCTATCTGACTTTTTGTTTCTAAGGTGAGAGGACTTTCAAATGTCATCACTGTGATGCCACTTTTAAAAGGAAAGATACATTAAATGTTCATGTCCAAGTAGTCCATGAAAGACACAAGAAATACAGATGTGAGCTCTGTAATAAGGCATTTGTTACACCTTCGGTGCTGAGAAGTCATAAAAAAGTAAGTAGAAGCTTTCTGATAGTTTGAATGGATTATGTATTTAAGCAAGATGGGAATATATAATCACATTTTATAATAATTTAACAACATGCTAACCCAAAATGACAAATGAACTATTTTTATCTGCATTTCAGAAAATGTTCACTTCCTTCCTTTTTCAGAACAGACCTATTTTTTTCCATGAAAGAGAACCTCAGAATTAGATGTCGGTTCTCTATAATCCTTAGCTATGCTAATAGGTGATTGGTACAGAGTCCTGAGTGAGTGAGAACTTACCAATATTTATACATATTTGGATTAATGTAGACTTTTTCTTTTAAAGAAATATAGATGTCTTAATAATTTTATTTTTGGAAGCTAATTCCTATGTTTTTAGGCAAGTTATTAGACTGAGCCCTTCTGGGTTTGGAATAGTCCTTCGTGTTTGCATAAGGAATTTCCTGGTGTAGAACAGGGACTTGTGTTTGTCTAACCCAATAGAATGATGTTCTTACTTATAGTGATTTGGAAGTTATTTTTTTATTTGTTTTTTATTAAATCATAGCTGTGTACATTAATGCAATCATGGGATACAGTGTGCTGGTTTTATATACAATTTGAAATGTTTTCATCAAACTGGTTAACATAGCCTTCACGGCATTTTCTTAGTTATCGTGTTAAGACATTTATATTCTACACCTACTAAATTTCACATGTACCCTTGTAAGATGCACCCACCAATTACCCTCCTTCCACCCATCCTCCACCCTCTCCTCCCCCCCCTTCCCCTTCTTCTTGGGCTATAATTGGGTTATAGCTTTCATAAGAAAGCTATAAATTGGTTTCATAGTAAGACTGAGTACATTGGATACTTTTTCTTCCATTCTTGAGATACTTTGCTAAGAAGAATATGTTTCAGCTCCATCCATGTAAACATGTAAGAGATAAAGTCTTCATCTTTCTTTAAGGCTGCATAATATTCCATGGTGGAAGTTACTATTTTTTTTTGGAAGTTATTTTTTTAATGTTATGCTAATCGGATAATTATCTCAAGCAGATTGACAGTTTGCTTTTTGTTTGTCAAATAAATATATCTTAAGTATTTTTTACAATAATGTTTCATTTTTGGGCATTATTGAAAAGAATATATAATTCATTAACTTAATTTTTGAAATGGGTAATATTCATATATAGATTTCAGTTATGATACGCTTCTTGAAGCGATAAAATAATAATATGTTTGTGGGGGTTGGAATATTATCAAGAATAAAATAACGTGCAGCCATAAAGAAAGATGGAGACTTTGTGTCCTTCATGTTCACATGGATGGAGCTAGAAAATGTTCTTCTTAGCAAAGTATCACAAGAATGGAAGAAAAAGTATCCAATGTACACAACCCTATTATGAAATTAATTTATATCTTTTATATGAAAGCTATAACCTAATAACAGCCTAAGAATACAGGGAGGGGGGAGGGAGAGGGGACGGGAGAATGGGTGGAGGGAGGGGGATTAGAGGGATCACTTCTGAGGTTTATCTTACAAGGGTACAAGTGAATCTTTCTAAGAGTAGAATGTGAACGTTTTAAAACAATAATTAAGAAAATGACATGAAGGCTATGTTAACCAGTTTGATGGAAGTGTTTTGGATTGTGTGTGAAAACCCCACACTGTACCCCAGAAGTGCATTAATGTACATAGTTACCATTCAATAAAAAAAATTAAAAACAAAAGAATAAAATAAAGTAAAAAATATAAAGACACTGTTTTATTAATGAGGATGAGTTAATAACCTCTAAAAATATTTTTAAAAACTTCTGTGCCTGCATTTGAGATAGCAAAATTTATACAGTAGAACCTCTGTAAGTTGCCCCCTTCCCCAAGGGACTGTAACAAACTGGTCAACACGAGCAGTGAGGCTACTGTACTGATACATACACGTGCTTGTCAGGTCAGTGAAAATCAGGTCCATATAGGGAATGAGCAGTGTAGGGAGGTGGTCAACTATGGTGGTTCTACTGTATTATAACAAATGCAGTTAAAAATTTTAATGGTAACTTTAGGAAAAACTATGCCATTAGTGTGTGGGACTGAATGAGTGTGAAGAAACGACTCCTGCTACAGTGTGACTTCTGTTTGAGTACCTATACTGAATGCAACTGTTTCTAAAGAACTGAATTGAGGACCTTTCTTTTCCTTTATCTTTAATCCTCAGTAATAATGATACTATCTTTAAAAAAATCTTCCAATGTAATAGTCTTTCAACTTTCTTTGCTTGAATTACTTTTTTGCATAAATTTTACATTATTTTATTGTTTTTTCAATAAGGTTCAAGTACAGTGAGTTTTCAAGAGAGATTTTATAGTTTTTCTGCAAATAATAAATTGTCACTGAGTGTATTTGTAGTGTTGCTTATTTTCACATTATGCATTTATCTAGCACTGTCCTCTTTTAAAATATTTTTAAAATTTCAAATATTAAGGGGGGGGGGCTGAAGTAGTGGCTCATGCTTATATAGTCTTAGCATTCTGGGAGGCCAAGGTGGGAGGATTGCTTGAGTTCACGAGTTTGAAACCAGCCTGAGCAAAAAGTGAGACCCCCCCCCATCTCCACTAAAAACAGAAAAACTGAGGTCAGAGTTGAAAACCTGAGTCCAAGAGTTGGAAGTTGCTGTGAGCTATGACACCATAGCACTTTACCCAGGGTGATAGCTTGAGACTCTGTCTCAAAAAAAAAAAAATTAAGGGGGTACAAATGGTTACATAGATTGCTTTTGTAATGCTTCAGCCATGGCTGTAAATGTCCCCACCACCCAAATAGTGGTCATTGTACCTGTTAGGGAAGTTTTTTCCCCTCCTCTCCTCCCTCCTTCTCTCTGCCCCCTCTGTGCACATCCAGCACTGTTCTTACAGTGAGCAGTTTCTATAATTTCTTACCCATGTTAAAGATGGTTTAGCATTATACCCTTAATGTCTTTTAGAAGTGGCTAACAAAATTCTGCACCTAATTGTTAGGCAATATTTTTGAGAAAGTGATATTTTAATTTGCTTTATTGATATGCCATTAACATCCTTTAGTTTAAAACTTCTACCACTGACAAGTCCCTTAGGTCATGTACATACACTGTAATACTTAAGTAGCAGCAAAAGAAAGCCTGTGATTTTAAAAAAGATATTATAAATAAATTGGTAGTTACCTGTATGGAATAATTCAGTGTAATTAATAATGATATATATACATACATAATTTCTAAAAAACCTTATACTAATCAAGAAAAATTTGCCATACTTTGCTTCTTGTATCAGGGAATGAAGATAGGTGTATTACATGTCTAAGTTAAAACATCGTAACTTATACTTTAAACTGAGCCATCCTGTCGACCAGGGGAGTAAAGTCTTTTAGTGAGTATAAAGATGTATAACACTTGTTTAAGACCCTATGGTGAAAATGGAAAGTTAAGTACCTGCTAAATGCAGAATCAAGAAGCTGCCTGTACATGTTGCTGAATAGCTTGGTAATTGATTAAGACTATGTTTCTCAAACTTGAGTATAACATAAATCCTTTCAAGGGGGAAAAAAGCTCTAATAAAAGATACAGATGTTGACTAAGCTATTCAGTTTATAGGTCTTTTAAAAATTGCAGATGCAACAGTACATATCCATAAAATACACATAAAGATTATATGATTGCAAATTTGTAAATTCAATACCAAGAAGGATATGAAACCAATTACATTAAAGTTAACAACCTAATATGGAGGATCATAACCTTCTGCTATATTGGCAGTTCTTTGAAGTTGTTGGGTGATGTGGTCACTGCCCCATCCCTTTCTCTCTGTCCTAGTTGTCAGTTTTCTGTTCTGAGAACATGGTTTTTTCCCCAAATAATAATACTTGACACTAATTTGCATAACATATGCAGACACAGACCTTGTTTCGTGATTATAATCCAGATGATACACTATATGCTTCAATAAAATTTTAGCTTATCATTGAAAAAACTTTCTAAAAGCAGTCTCATAGAGAATGTTCAGGTGTCTGAAGGACTTGCCTCTTGTTCCCCTTTTTCTCCTTCTCCTAAGTTTGAGAAACACTGGAGCTTTAGAAATAGCTCAGCCCCTCATTTATTGGAATGATCTGTTTTGTTGTCGGGAGAAAAGCTGGTCTTTTGATGAGACAGAGAGGCCAGGTTCAACCACTGCATCTGCTGCCTCTTCTGGGGAGGCTCCTCCTTTTTCTTTGAACTCTCCAACATTCATTGAAACTTACTTTTGATGATACTCATTCACCTTTCCTCCTGTGTGATTGTTTTATGCCTAGATTAAAGGTATATTGAGGGCAGAAATGGTCTTTCCCATTGACTACTCATTTAATACTCGCTGATTTTAAAGGTCAAATCAGATTTATATTCCTTTTTGCTTTGCAGTAAAACCAGTCTAGTCAGACAGCATAACGAAAGTAACAGATGACTTTATTGAGATTAATTCTGTTCTTAAGAGTTAAATACACACCAAGAATGTGAAAAATGCTTCAAAGGAAGTATTTCTTGGCAGCAGTCAAGGGCAGCTATAGCCCCGTTTTGATTATGTGGTTTTGCTAGCTTTTACTGGTTTTATATAATTTAATCATTTTTAGATGGGGCGCCATAAAGGCTTAAAAAGTGAACTACAGAATTATTTTCAAATTAACACTAAGGTATGATTCTTTTTTTTTTTTTTGAGTCAGTGGGAATATCTGTCATAAATTTTAAAAAATCTCATTGTGCTATTAAATCATTTTAATGAAACATAATCCCAGAAAATAAGGATTTACTATTGTTAGAGGCACTTAATCATCTTCACTTAACTCTTTGTATTTATCCTCAACTTTCTTATTCCTTTACATTTAGACACATACAGGAGAAAAGGAGAAAGTCTGCCCATACTGTGGTCAGAAATTTGCTAGCAGCGGTACCCTGAGAGTTCACATCCGGAGCCACACAGGTATGAGGACGGTGACTGGCGTGGAAAACAACTCGGAGAAACCACATGCTTCCAAGACAGGAAATACTGTCAGAGCACAAAATATCTCCCAGATTAAGAACCAATCCTGTCTGTTTTCTCTCATTTAAAGTATTATAAAACCCATTTTCTATCCTAGAAGGATTTTGAATAAGTGTATTTTTTCAAATTAAGTAAAATGTCTAAAATGAACATTAGGTTTTAAATGTTTGATTGTGATATAACTTACCTTCTATATGATTTTAACAGATGGAATGGGGAAAGACTGTTTCATTTTTTAAGAGAAGGTTAAGGGCTTCCTCTTGTAATCCCTCCTATAACTCCTGTCAAATGTGACCTTTTAAAATTGAAAAAGTCCTTGGAATGTTGCTTGAATGCTGTAGGATTTTATTGCATGCAAGAGTATCGTGACTGTAATGTCTCTTAAGCCATGGATTTCTTCTTAAAGGGTTCCCTTCTTCTCTTACCAGTTCCTAGGAAATTTCTCCACTATGTCCTAGTGAGAAGTGAAGGAACAACTAAATATTCTTGAAAGAACCTTTTCTAGATTTTATTTATTATGTAGACAAGTACTTGAAAAAACTTGAAAGAATACTTAATTTTGGTAACCAGATGATTTTACAGTAGTCTGACAACTTTTATCAGTAGCCAGACTAGTTGTGTGGTGAGCTACATAACTGGATTGTACAGCTGAAGCTTCCTAGTTAAGCTTCCTAGTTAAGAGCCACGGGGTTTGTCTTGTTTACCATTGTAACCCCAGCACTTAGCAGTGTCCAACACAATTATTATGTTGTGAAATTAAGTAGGCCAAAGAAACATTAGACATAGAGGAAGGGGTAACAGTGGAATATAAACTCTTATTTTGGAAATTTTCTGGCTAAAGCTAAAAGACAAATGGTCAACTTAGTATTTGTTATCTTAGAATAGGCACTTAAATACTTTTAAATGAAAAGCATGATCCAGAACAGATGATGTTATTATTCCATAATAATGTTGATCTTAAGAAGGAAAGAGGCCTTATTGATTAGAAGTCATCTACAGAAAGTGAGACTTTCAGCACAAAGTTTTGCTGAAGCAGAGTGGCAAAAAGAAGGGGAGGGAGAAGCTTGTGGAAATGAGCAACAGAGCCACAGTGAGGGCAGGTGTGCTTGAAGGAGTGCCAGCGCGGCGGCACCCGCGTCCTGATGGGGCAGAAGAAGCAAGTGAGGATGATAGAGGGGCAGAGAGTTCTGAAATTTGGAGCCAACCCCTGATGTCACTGGACAGCCCTCTCTTTTGGGTGTATTTGGGGCTGGTGTGGAGTTGCGGGGAGGTAAGGGCAAGAATGAGATCAACAGCTGTCCACTCGGTATCAGTAATTCTTGGAAGATCTCTTTTTGCCACACTTAGAGACTTCATGTCTGTGTGTGCGTCCTTGTGTATATAATTTATGTATGGGAAGATGGCAATTAAGCAATTGGTAAAGTATATTATACCTAGATATCAGAATAATAAGTTTTTAATAATGCCCATGATGTAATTGTATTTGTTTAGTATAGTGTGTGTTTGTGAAAAGTAGGATCTTACGTTGTTCAGAATACATGAAAACAGAGGTTCCAGCACAGAAAAGATGAACCCAGTCAAGTTAAGCACTTGATTATTCCACATAATTCTGTTCTTGAGAATTCATTTTACTCATTAGCACTTAAACTAGTAATTACTCCTAAAATTAATTATTATTATCCTTTACAAAGTTGCAAAGATAAGAGGATTTTTTTTGAGCTTCAAGAATTCTGTTAAAAATGTTAAATATATGTCATGTTTTTATTGTTTTATTTTAATACTGTGCTCTAATCTTTGTTGTGTATAATTTAAAGAATATTCTGAAATCAAAATAATTTTATATATGATTTTGTTATTTATTGTGTGCCTGAATCTGGGTCAAATGTTGGTACAGATTCTGTCCTGTTAAATGTGGCTTCTGATTAAGAGAACTGTCCATCTAAATTCAGATAGCAGTGCTGAGGCACAGTGAACCAGCACATATGGTTACATAGATTGAGATAGATTTTATACAGGTATATACATGTATAGCCAGGTTTTTCTGTTTAAAATCAGAATTATTTCACTTTCTTATTTTATGATTCTTTTTTGGGTTATTTTGTTGTCAAGCCTGTGCTCTCAGTGACAACTGCCTGGCAGCGTGGCTTCAGGGTGTTGGAAGTGGTTGGTGCCTGTGGAATGTGGCTGACTGCAGAGACCTAGCTGGTGGCTGGCATCTGGGCTTCCATAATGGTCTTGGCACAGATTTCTCTTCTGCATGAACAAATGATGCATTTGCTTTTCTCTTATTTGCTTTGTTCTATCCCCCAACTGATATGCATACTTTATTCTCCTAAGCTACAACCTGACTTAAAGAACACTAGGGCTTATGCAGTTATTTCACTACTGTGACAGCTGTGCTCTTAATATTTTGAGTGCTGTAAATTCATTTGTTTCTCTCTTTACATTATTTTTCTTTATGAAGGCATGTGTTTAAACCCTTTCTCAATGCTAGGTCTAGTGAGTTATGGTTGTGCTATAGCATGACATAGGTAAGGGTCATGCCCTCTTTTGTAGGAAGCGTTTAGTTATATTTTATCTAGGGAGGACACAGTGAAGTGGTAGGAGCTTGCGGGAAGCTGGGGTGGGGACAGTCAGGAGAGGACAGCTGATGCAGAGTCTGTGGAGCAGGGCCCTCTGGATCAGTGAGATGACTTTCATACATCACCGTGCGTTTCAAGTGCTTTCAGCTTAATTTCTGAGTATTACAAAGACAGTACTTAAGGATTAGGATTTGATAAAATTGATACATTTACTTCATCAAGGCTGTTCTCAAGTGAGACTGGCATTTATTTCTTCTGTGAGTGTGAAGCTATGAAGACAGCGTTAGTCTGACCACTGTCTTGATATATACCAAGGCACAAGCAGTTCTACCACCCTTACTTTTGTACCATTAGTGTAAATGTTAAGGTGGTAAAAAAGGGCAAATCATGTATGTAAAAGTTGTTAGGACCTTGTAGACCTTGTGGAAGAGTCTTGTGTCCCTCTTGATCTTATACTCTTAATGTTCCCCTTAGCCAATGGCAAATACCCAGAAAAAACAAGTGTGGGGTATGCGTGTGTGTGTGTGTGTGTGTGTGGGGAAAATGGTGTCAGCCGTGCTCATGAAGACCCAGCTGACAGGACAGACGCTCTGACAGGGGCCATTGCTCTTATTTGATCGCTCAGAGTAGTATTGTTTCTCACTGTTGCTCTGGCTTTCTTGATAATAAAACCTCAACTGTTTGCTGCTGCTGCTGCTTCTGCTGAAGTCCGTGAATGTCATCATCATGGCCTTTCCCGGAATCTGGGTTTTAGAATGGATTTTGCCATCTCTGACACTACTTTTGTATAGGAGTTGTCTGCTGTTTGTCTGATAATGTTATGTCCGTGGTAGCAAACAGAAAAATACTAAGGGTTTCTAAATTTGTGCATATTTGTAGGTATAGAAACTTAAGTAGAACTTAACTCTAAAACATACCTGCAGTTAGCAAAAACCAGAACTTCTCTTAAAGATTATCCTATCAGCAAGATGTTTACTGATGTTTGAAATTATTTATTGGGGTTTTGGAGATTCTGACTTATCATGAGATGAGGTAACTTTTTCCATTTAGAGAGTTGCCCTGCTTTGTAGAAACAGGGCTCAGTGGGGTTCCTGCTCAACCCTCCTCTACTGAGGGAGTCACCCTGGCATAATGGAAAGAGACTCCCACTACTTACTGGTTGTGTACTTTTGAGCAAATTGCTTAATCTCTCTGAGCCCAATTTTATGTTATAAAGTCTATGTGAGGAATAAATGAAATCATGTCTGTGAAATAATTAGTGCTAGTTTATAATAGATAAGCAGTTAATTGCCATAAGTAGTGTATCTAAAATTCTTCTTTTTAATATTGACCGTTGTTAAGACTGCCTTTCCAAAGTTAAATGAATTGTGTTTATTAACATTGGGCAGCAACTCTTCACTGAATGATATAACTTCTTACAGTATTATTTTCTCTTTTTCTTTTTAGTATTTCTTCCTTATAGGACATCATACTGAGAATTTTATGTTTAATATCTTTTCCTGTTCTTTCTTTCAACTTTATCAAGATCTTAAATTGTCAAACATGAGAGAGTTTCACTTTGTTGCCTGCAGTAGAGTGCCATGGTGTCACAGCTCACAGCAACCTCAAACTCATGGGCTTAAGCGCTTCTCTTGCCTCAGCCTCCCATGCAGCTGGGACTACAGGCATCTGCCACAATGCCCAGCTGTTTTTAGAGATGGGGGTCTTGCTCTGGCTCAGGCTGGTCTCAAACCCGTGAGCTCAGGCAATCCACCAGCCTCAGCCTCCCAGAGTGCTAGGAGGCATGAGCCACCATGCCCACTTTAACTTTGTTTTATAAATGTAATCTTGATTGATGGTTGATAAGGAATTAATATCATAGTGTCTGACATAATTATGGGATGTTTAAAATACATTAATTTGGGGAAAATGAATTTTAGATGGCTAAGCTATGTTTCTGATGAACTAAGCCTTCTTTTCAATAATATTGAATATTTTCAATATTCTGAACCGCTAATAACCTTTTTTGGAATTAAATTGTAGTGTCTTCCACAATGCTTCTTATAAATTTAGTTTGCCTTTAGTTGTCATATTAAAAGTTGGCCTAAGCTTTTAAAATTCACACCACCTTATTAGGCATAAATACAAAGTATTTGATTTTTAAGTCTAAAAGAGAGTATAGGCTTGAAGTTTGTTTTATAAAAAGAACATTCTGTTCTTAGAAGAACTGTTTTACAATAGCAAAAAATTGGTAAAGAGCGTATACATCTAATACTGAAGGTATTGGTTAAGTTATAGTATTTCTAGAAATTGGAATATTGTGCAGACAATAAAAATGATATTATAGATGTATATTAATTAAGAGGAAAAGAAATGAGA